GAACCTGTAAAACTGTCAATGAATGGTTTCCTGGTTCTCCCCTATTTTCAATGCATTTTGCCACGGATCAACTTTTTCCTATGGTGGCTTATTAATATATTACATCCACCAGGGGAACAGAGCTAGTCTTCCAGTTTTTAGCAGAGTAAAATATACGTTAAGCCATTTTAATGTGTGACCCGGCAAAAGTCACTTTATCTTTCTGGGTCTCAGTGTAGTCATGTATAAAATGAGATTAAACTAGATATCTAAGGGCCCCTTCTATTTCTGAAGTACTACATGAACCCAGGTTCCACTAACAAACCTGTGATAATACTTTAATGGGATGCACAGGCTATGTGGACAAGAAGAATCTGAAGTTAGTGTAATTCCATCACCAAAAAAAATGTCTAAACCTTGTATCCTACTTTCCCAAAATATATGCTCTCACTCATATCTGAGAGCCCAATGCAAAGCTCAAAGACTAAACACCTAATTCCTGATCAAAGGTTGTTGCGGAGTTCATATCTAAGCTTTGTTACAGTAGCTTCCTGGGCTGAGTGCATGTGGGTGCTGAAGACATACTCAGCATGGCATAGTTATGTGGGTGAAGAGAGAGAGACTGTACTCCACAGGCGTTTGAATGTTTTTGATTATTTCACAGTAAGTAGATGGCCTTGGGTAAAAATCTTAACTTGGCGCTATTCACAGGTAGAGAGCAATGGGAAGCAATTAAGTGAGTGACGATACTGAGAAGGGACTCTGCAAAGGAGGAAATAAGGATGGAAGTGAAAGTTTCCTTAGGCAGGTTTCCCCTATTACCTACACTGCTGTAGAAAACTTTGAAGAGCTTTTGTATTCACAGAATTTTATAAAATGTGTTAGAAACAGTGACTCAGCTTTTAGTGAAACACACACTTTGACCTGGAAAAGGCCCCCATACCTGATGCAGTCAATGCTTCCTAGAGCTAGACTATAGGCTAGTCTTTTAATCATATAGGATTCAGGGTGAGCTTGGGGAAAAAAAGAAATTGTCCTGGAATGAAAACAAGCACTGGCTTTGGAGTCAAGTAAAACTGGGCATGATTCCTGGCTTTACCACTTAGTGAGTAACCTTTTGGCAAAATTTAAAACTCCACTGGGCCTCACTTTCCTCATCTATAAAATGAGGATAATACAACGCACCTGAAGGGCTATTGTGAAGATTAGCAAATTTATATAAACCATCTGGCATTATGTACACCATAGGAATTCAGTAAATGCCGTCAGTGACAGTGTATTCCTCCTCATTTAAGTAACAAGCAACAACTGTACATGGCCTCCCTCCTGTCAACTCATATATGAATAAAATAAAATATAGAAAATAAACAGAAATGCATCTAGTGCAGCCATGTACACTTTAATTGGTCACAGAAGAGTCCCTTGGGGGGCAGGGAGGAAGAGTCCCTTACGTCCATCCCTAGATAGCCTACTTCCTTCCTAGATAAAAAGCCAAACCTACATACAACAGAGCTGAAGTAGAAATTAGTAAAGACAGGCTGTTGCAGGCAGCTCAGTAATAATGTAGAGATACGGAAAGGAAAAAAAAAATTTTTTTATAAGAAGTAGATGAAAGAACTTTAAAGAGCAAGCTGTCTAGGACTACTTACTGCAGAGGCACATAACCCTACCACTCTCACCGACCTGAGAGTATCACAGAGCTAGAACACTACTGTTCTAGCTATTTCCAATCAAGTTAAGGTTTGGTGTGTTATTCTGTTAAAAGAAGGTAGAAAAATTCTCCCCAAATGCTTAAAACATGAAAAGTTTTGATGCTTAAGAATAAGCTTCAATGTGTGGGGAAAATTGACCTACCAGAAATAGTTCAAAGATCAACAAAATTAAGTGTACTTACTGGTTAAAAACATGTAACAGAGGAGAAAATTTTAACTGCTCTATACATGGAAATAGTGGTGCAACAAAATAGTTGAGTGAAACAGTTGTGACATTTCTGCTGCCTTTCCCTGGGGAAAAAAACAGGCTTTCTTTCTTCAAGATTCTGTTCTAAGGGATGCCTGGATGGCTCAGTCGGGTAAGCATCTGACTCTTGGTTTCAGCTCAGGTCATGATCTCACAGTTCATGAGTTCAAGCCCCACATCAGGCTCTGTGCTGACAGTGAGGAGCCTGCTTTAGATTATCTCTCTCTCCCTCTTTCTCTGCCCCCCCTTCTGCACATGATCTCTCAAAATAAATAAACTTTAAATTAAAAAAATTAATGAAACATACCATTCATTTGTTTATATTCATTTAATCTTCCCTTTATATATATATATACATACATACATATGTATATATATATACATACATACATATGTATATATATATACATACATATGCATATATATATACATACATACAGTATATATGTATGTATATATATACATTGTGTGTGTGTGTGTGTGTGTGTGTGTGTGTATGGATTCTGTTTTAAGGAAAGACCACTCTAAAGCTGAAGTGATATGACAAAAGTCAGATTATACATTATACTATGTCTTCCCCTGGCCCTCCAAGTTTTACCTCTGGTTTTGAAAATTCTTAAGTTTTCTTTATGCTCTCTTTATTCCATAAAACTAATCACTAATTACAGAGAACCCAAAGTGCAATGAAAGAAATGCACTTCTCATTACCTCACAAGTGGTTTGGACTTGATTCTTACAATGAGGTGATAATGACCAGGTAAAGTTTTGTCCTGTCTGAATTATTTATTTACTTTTTTAAAACATTTTTTTAAAAGTTTATTTATTTATTTTGAGAAAGATAGAGAACAAGCAGGGGAGGGGCAGAGAGAGAGGGAGACAGAGGATCTGAAGCAAGCTCTATGCTGACTGCAGAGAGCCTGATGTTGGGCTTGAAACCAAGAACTGTGAGATCATGACCTGAGCCACCCAGGTGCCCTTGAATTATTTTAAATGGATACAAAACTGGGCCTTGGGAGACCTGTTTTTCCTCTCTGATTTTCTCAAATTGGCCTACATCTGACTTGAAGACATAACAAGCTCTGTATGACTTTTAAGCTCTGAAAGAATTTAAAACCAGGAATGTTTAACCATCCGTTCAAAATAAAGGGATCAAAGCAGGCAACTGTGTTTTTAAGCAACTGACTGTGGGATGCCCAGGTCTCAATGTTCAGAGGGGTCTATTTTATTTTATTTAAAGTTTATTTATTTTGAGAGACAGAGACAGTGTGAGTGGGGGAGGGGCAGAGAGCAAGGGAGAGAGAGAGAATCCCAAGCAGGTTCTGCGTTGTCACAGCAGAGTCCAACTCGGGGCTCAGACTCACAAAACTGTGAGATCATGACCTGAGCAGAAACCTAGATTTGGGGAGCCACCCAGGCGCCCCAGAGGGATCTATTTCAATAGCAGCAGTAGCAACTGCCACCTAACATCAATCAAGCACTCAGGGGACCAGGCACTAAGTTATGTGCTTTACATAAATTTTTCCATTTAAATGTCACAATAAGCATATGAAAGGCTGTTATTATTCCTATGTTACAGATGAGGAAACCAAGACTGAGAACTTTAGAAACTTGCCCAGTTTTCAAGGTTAGCAAGTGGCAGACCTAGAATTTGAACTTGGAAGTTAGGTTTCACACTGTATAAGAGATCAGGTGTTTTATTTTTAGAGTATATTTGATTGTTAGACTGCTCACTTTAGATATCGTCTTTTAAGTATACGAAAGAATATATAAAACACAAATAATAGTAATATACTTGCTTTTAGAACTTTATTTCTCTCTCCCACACTCACCTTTCTTCTCCCTTAAAGTCTCAAGTTAGAAGTCAAGGACAGAAGAGCAAAGATAAGAGGCAGGACTGAATTACTGAATAGTATTTTTACCACCTGAAACCACCCTCAGCTGTAACTCCTCTCAGAGCTAAGTGATGCACATGAACAATTTATTACAAGCCTTAAAATTTTCTCATAAAAGCAAACTTAAAAAAACAAAACAAAACAAAAAAACAAATTTTTTTTTTTTTTTAAGAGGTGAAATGGACCTTAAGAGATCGTCTGTTCAACCCTTGGTATTAGAGTGGAAGAAATGAGGATTCTCTTGAGTTAGTATGTGGGACAGAACCAAAACTCAGGTCTTTCAAGACCTCCCGTGACCTGTGGCTTCTGTAAGACTGGCCCTTAATCTGTATCAATGAGGTGGCCTGTCTCTGCCTGACAGACTTTGGATCTGAATGAGTACTCCATGGGGGATATTTCTCTTTGCATGTGATGGAAACAAGGGGGAAAAACACGTATTTAGAGAACTGAGAGTGGTCTAATATGAATATGGATTGTAATATGGAACAGAAGACCAGCTTTTACCTTTAGCACAGATTATGACTCGAAGCAGTTAGCCCTTTGAGAATTCGCTAACTACTGTAGAACCGTTTCATGTTTAAGTCCACACCCATTCAAACACTTGCCAATTCATAACAAAGGTAATGGACGTTGTTTATCTGGATATATTTTCAGTCTACTCTCTCCACACCAAATGCTTACATAAGTGCATTTAAGGCCAAATATCTACAGTGTTCATTACATTTTAGGCAGGCTATATCTTAGATTTTTCTTAAGATTTCTTAGAGTTCAGAGGGTTGTAGATCTTTTGAATTCAATGTAGTACAATTGTAGGTTGCAATGATTTGTGGTTCTGTGATTATAAATAGGTGAAATGTCTTAGAAAGTGCAGGCTTCATGTGAAAGTCCTAAACTGGAACAGAATACTAGAGAGCTACAGTAATTGTCATGCTCTAACCAAAATGCTTCATTGGTGTATGATCTTAGGAGTCATTTAACTTTGCTGTGTCTCTATTTTGCTCTCATAGGAACTATGTGGATGCCATAGGACATATCTAAAGTGCTCTGGACACTACAAAAAAAAAAAAAAAAAAGGACACCCTTCTCAGACCTTTTAAAGCCACTTCCCCATATCCAAAGGGAGGGGAACTGCAAACAAATAATTTGGGATTTTAATGCCATATAACTTACCTATATCGCTCCTCCTGTAAGGCCTGCATTATTAATGAATAGTCTCTCTGATAATGTTCCTTGAGGGTCTCAAAGGATTCCTCCAGTCTGGCCTGGGTTTCCCGGATCTCCTGGATCTCATGTAGTAGTGCATCAAATCCTGAGCTCTGCATGTCCAGAGTGTTTGTTTTGGAGCTGGATGCTCCTACAGCAATGCCTCCAGTGGTGCTATTGGCTCCCACTGAGCCTGAAGTGGCACTAGAACAATCTTCCTCACTACCATATTTTGGGCTTGATTGAAAGTTTGAAATCACCCCCAAAGCCTTCCCCCCATCATCCACTTGCCCTTCCTCTAAAGAGTCCTTCAGGTTAGGGATGTTGTCTGCACTACCAAATTTATTCCGGATTAGTGAAGCAATCTCTCTGGGTTTTGAGACTACGGCCCCTGCTGCTGAATGGGTTGCCTGGGAGAAGCTAGAAAGTCCACCTTTGACACTGTCCACCACACCTTCACTGAAGCCAGTCACCTTTGCTCCCACATCCTTCAGACCCTGGTGCATGTCCCTGAAGACATCCTTCGGCTGCCGGGGAATCCCATTCTGCTCCACCTCTCGGAGCTTCCTGTGGTAGTGCTCAAGCTTCTTTTGTAGCTGGAGGATGGTTTGGGCAGATTTCTGGTTCTTCTTCTCAAAGACCTGCTTGATGCGGGCAGCCTGCTGCTTGTCTGCACTGTTGGCAAGCTTCAAGTACTCAGCAACGTTGTCATCCCGGGCTGTTTGTGCAATCTTGATCTGTTCTGTGAGCTTCAGGATCTTCTGCTGCAGATGAGCAATAGCAGCCTTTGTGCGCTGAGGGTCCGGTGTTCCATCCACAGAGTCTGTGTGGATACTGCCATCAGTGCTGGAGGCCACTGCACTGGAAGTCTGGGCGAGGCTGCTTACTTCCAAACGCTCAATCTAGTGTAAAAATAAGAAGTGGATGTTAGAAGGAGCCCAAGAGGACTACCTCTCCGGAATCAATGGGCCAAATGTATTGAAAATTTACATACTCCCAGATCTCAGCACAGATAGTTGACCAAAGTCCTCCTGTCCTATACAAGCCCCATCTCCCTCTTGGGTACTGTCCTTATACAAGTATACTTTGCTTTACACAAAACAGACATATGAAAAAAGATATGCACAAGATGTAAACTGGGGGTGTCTTCCTTTGTTAGAGAATTTATCACAATATTCAAAGCTCCCCTAGTGGATTTAAAGCATGATTTAATTTACATTCTTCACACATACTTTTGTGAAACAAGGTACATCTGCATTTCAATTTAATTATATGAAAAGCATTTTAGTATTCAGACATCACTAATTCCAATCCACGCTCTCAGATTATGGTCATCCAAAATGCTGGTGACAACAGGTATTTTACTGGCTAGATATAAAAGTCCTATTTATCACAGTGTCTTTTTATCCAAAGTATGTCAAGGTGATGGAATTATTCTCTCTATTCTGATAGGGACCCTCAATTGGTAGCTGGAAACAGGTGGTGGTAAGAAAGAGAAGTTACTACCGAAAGTGCCAAGGATAAATGTGGTATCCTGTTAGAGTTAATATCCCAGATCACAAGTAACTGTGATAAACTTGGGCAAGAGAAAGTGAATACTCAGGGAGAGGGACAGTGAGAGGTAAGAAATTAATCAAGTCAACAACTAAGTTCAGGTCTTCTGGAGTTCAAACTTTGTGAATTCTATCCAGTAAAAGGTTTTTTATTAGACAAGGGATTCCAAAACACACACAAAAACTATCCTTCATATGGGTGAGCAACCACTCAAAGGAGATAAAGAAGGCGGCAAGCTGCTCAGATTTGAAAACTGAAACTATCCAATTTCAAAGCTGTTAGCCAAAGCTGGGAGAGGTCAGGTTTCCCTAACTCAGGATATAAAAACAAAAACAAAACAAAACAAAAAACCTTGGGTGTGGCCTGTGGTACATTAAAGTAGGGCTCATGCAAAAAGTCCTTAGAAATTGCTCTCTACTGAGCAGGAACAGAAATAAATAATAAAAGAACCATTTCAGGGTAATAAAATTCCCAGTATGAGTGTCAAATTACAAATTACAAATTACCATCTTGGAGGTTAACATCATAACCCTTTACTTGGTCCCCAGCCCTAATCTGTAACCAGCCAACAATTTGATAGAAAGAACTGTAGGCTACCCTCTTATACCAAATGTTAAATATTCGTGAAATGCTGATAATTAGCTTGTCAGTCTTTGTTTTATCTTGGTTATATCTCCTCAGTTTGCCATCTGAGCAGGAATTATGGTGCTCTAGAACTCTAAAAATATTAGTTCATTACTGGAATTAATTTTTACTACTGATATGAATAAAAACTATTTCCTTTTTAGATGAACAAATGAGAAATAATGTGCATTTAAATAAAATCAAAAGATAATTTAAAACTGAAATGAATAGCAAAATGACATTATGTTCCCCTAATAACAAAAATGTCCAGAATAGTTAGGGACTAGCAAATAATTATTTTGTGTAACTTCCTCCATCGGCCCCATTCATTTTTAGGTGCAAGCTAACGAGCAGTGAAAGGGCCAGAGGGAATGAGCCAGAGTCCCAGATAACCACGTTGAAAAAAGTTGAAAATGGAGCTTAGAAACTCTCTCTTCAGTTGCACAGGGTTTCCAATGCATGATTTTCTTTCTGAATGGGATTTCAGATCCCACAACTATAGTACGTAATAGACTCTGATTGTGTACTTATGTTTAATAGCTTAAATCTACCACAGGAAAAGGAAAGCAAATATGAAATACCACTGACCCAAGACTACAAGCTTATGCATTGTCTAGTTTTCTTAGGTTCTTTGTTATCTGAATATCACCTCACATGTAGTGTCTTGTGTAAAGAAGTGCAGGTACAGAAAACAAGTTTAACTATTACTCAGGGAGGATAAATATTGATCATACTGGTGAAAATATGGCTTTGGGAATAAAATCAAGGTTTTATTATATCTCTAAACTTGAAAAAAAACCACAGTAACATTTCAATATAATTATTTATAAAATAGATCACAGTTTGGTTGTGATTTTATTTCCCTACACAATAACTAAAGAGGTAGACCAGACTCTTTAATCTGACTTCTGTCCTGAGCTGTCTGGGGCCACACTGTATCTTTCCAGTATATGACTCCCACTCAGAATCATCAATATGCCTGTAAGAGTGTATCTGACAGAACCTACTGTCCTCAGCCTTCAAAGAAAACTAACCCCACAGCTTCTGCAGGAGGGAAGCATAACAGTTGAAAGTATGAATCACTCAATTACTCAGTAACTCTTCCCAATATTGGCAGGCACTATCCTTAAAAAGGAAGGAGAGAGAAGAGGGAGAAATTGTGACAGGTGGAGAGGGGAAAAAAGAGGGGAGAAGAGAAGAGGAATGGAGAAGGAAAGAAAAAGATAAACTGAACTATAGATTTACAGGACAGGGGGTGTGAGTACTCTCTTAGTATCTTTTGAGCTATGAACAAAAGCCCTCAGAGGTAAGAGTACTTAGCTGGGAGTCACAAAGGCACCAACTGAAAAAGTGGTTCTCTTTTTCAAAAGCCTTTGCTGGCATATCAGGTATCCATATATAACAACATAAAATTAGATTCCACCTCATTCCAGACAGACAATTAAAATGCAAATGTGAAAAGCAAATTCTATTTTTTAATTTTTATTTTTTTAATGTTTATTTATTTTGAGAGAGAGTGCATGTGGGAGCATGAGTGGGGGAGGGGCAGAGAGAGAGGGAGAGAAAGAAAATCCCAAGCAGGCTCCGCGCTGTCAGCACAGAGCCCAACATGGGCTCGATCTCACAAACTCTGAGATAATGACCTGAGCTGAAATCAAGAGTCAGATGCTTAACCAACTGAGCCACCCAGGTGTCTCTAAAAGCAAATTTTAAACCTTTGAGAAGGCGGTATTGGAAAATAGGGAAGGACTTTCTTAAACATACATGAAAAGGCACAAATCAGAAAAACAAAGCTATTTAATTTGGCTACGTTTAGTATAGTAGTGAAGCATGGTTTCTGGCATAAAACTGCTTGGGTTCAAATACAGCTTTGCTACTCATGTGACCTGGGGCAAGTTGCTTAAACTCTGCATCCATTTCATCAACTGTAAAATGGGAATAATACTAAGGCCCACTTCAGAAGACTGTTTTGAGAATGAAATGGGTAAATAAACATAAAAGCGCTCAAAAACAGTCCTGGACACAGAGTAAACAGTTACTACTAGCTATTATTTTTTCTATCATTCTAAGTAGTTCTTTTAAAAAATTCAAGTATTAAAAGATTCTAGAATATACTTCCTTTTAAGATCTTTCACATTTCAGGCATGATCATGGAATATACAGAGTCTGAACCAAAGGAATAATGTAATTCAAGGTACTACAGTACAAGTAATAGTCATCTTTCTTGACTGTTGGTCTTGTGGCTAGGCAGCTGGCTACCTAATCTTGCAAAGCTCACAACAGGCCTATAAAGTAGACAACGTTATTACTAATTTACAAATGAAGTGACTGTGAGGTACTTCTTATTACCTTATCAAGTGGCAAGATTATTTATTCAATAGGGCTTCATGTGACCATAGGCTGAAGGGCTTTCATGAGTGATCATACCTACCAGTGTAGCAAGTCCTGGACACTTATGGCTGGGGACAGTATTAATTTGTACAGAGAAAATCTAGGAGCAAAAACCAGTCTGTTAAATGTATTTTGACTACTTATTGGAAGCTGGGCAAAGTGCTACACAGCTAGAGGTATGGTCAAAGGCTACAATTCATGATCTTACTGTTGCTATAACAAATAGATATGCTGCTTTGTTTGCACTTTGTTTCTTACTATTAATGCATTTGCCAGGGCGCTTGGGATGGTTAAGCGTCGGACTTGATTTTAGCTTAGGTCACGATCTAGCAATTCGTGGGATTGAGCCCTGCATTGGGATCTGTGCTGACAGTATGGAGCCTGCTTGAAATTCTCTCTTTCCCTCTCTCTCTGCCCCTGCCCTGCTCATGCTGTCTCTCTCTTAAAAATAAACATTAAAAAAAAAAAAAAAAAAAAAAAAAAAAGAATTCATTTGCTAGGGGGTGCCTGGCTGGCCCAGTCAGTAAGCCATGTGACTCTTGATCCCAGGGCTGTGGGTGTGAGCCCATGCTGCGTGTAGAGATTACTTAAAAATAAAATCTTAAAAAAATTAATTTGCCACACTTAAATGATCTTTTAACAGATTTTAGTTAATTGATCCGAAAACAGTTCAAGAGAAAATTTAAACAGTGATGCCTCAAAAGACCAATTAGTCAGGGGCAGAGTAGAGCTATCTTGGGGAGAATATTTGATAAAAGTTTTATAATGGCTTGCAATATTCATTTGCAAATACATTACAGATCTATCTACTTTCTCTGAGTATATGGAAGTGTCAGAATATGGGAGCACCCAGCTTTGAGAACAATCATGTATGAAGGAACATGGTGGAAAGAGCAAGGAGTAGAAAGACCTAGGTTCACACCTGGCTTTGCCACCTTACTAGCTAGGTGTCTTTGGGCTACCTACTTGTTCTCTTTGAGTCTAAGTTTTCTTATCTATTCAATGGGGTTATCATTCTCTTGTGAGATTATCTGAAAAAATGTTAAATATATGTGAAATCAGATTATGCCTGCCAAACATCGTGAGCATTCAAAAAGTTACCTTTTTCTATTCCTTACCTGGTTTATTACTCAAAGGTACATATTTGTAACTAGAAAAGATTCAGAAATCCCTGACTTGACATCACTGCCTTCAATAAAAGCCAACAGCCCCATCCTGTCTACTTAGCGGAATGAAGTCTTTATAGACTTCATAGACTTTATATCTGTGCTTTATAGAATACTGGCTCTCTTTTAGGAAATTTCTGCACACTACATAATCGACATCATTTCTG